TGATCGAGTTGCCTGCGGGACCATGGCGATCAGTGGATGTGAGACACCTCGAAGGGCGGTGGATCGTTGGGGCAGAGACTCCTACCAGCGGCTCTCATAGCTACTGGCACCTTAAGACTCCACAAGCTCCTTTTCTTCCAAGTCCAACCAGAATCAACACATGCACAGATTTTTCTGCCCTTTCGAGAACACACAGTGCCAAGGAACGGCGCGCCAGGATCCGAGCCTCACGCAGGTGCTGAGTGTCCTGTGTCGCGAGCTCCACGAGCAGCTGGGACGGCGTTGGGCGCCCGCGGTGTCCTTGCGATTGCTGCAGCAGCCGGCGAACAACAGGCTGAGATTTCACCCAGACACGAACAACTCGACGGAATCCGACCTAATACGCGCATCCGACAAAGTCCAGCGCATACTAAAGTAGTCACAGGGTGGTCTTGAGAGATGGGAAACCTACATCAAACATGCTGCATTACCTGATGCGGTGCCGACCCGTCTACCGATGCCTCTTCGATGTGCCAACCACTTGAGGAAGCACGCTGTGACGCTACATTGCTTAGTTGGCACAAACACTTGGTATATATTTATAGCTCTTCTCAGTTTGAGTTGCTTACACCAGTGGAGCTGTTTTGCAGCAGAGTTGAACGAATTTGTTGTGGCCCAATGGTAACTGGATGATGGAGTTGCCTGTCAGCCTTTAGCTGCCTTTCCTTCGGGCCACGGCTCTCCGGCCGTTTCTGGCCTGGCCCGAGGCTGTGGCTCAAAGAGACTAACCGATGCCCCGACCAATGCCACCGATGCACACTTTGAGCAACAACTACTTGTGGCCATGGAAAAGCAACTCCCCCGCAACTTGTGCAACAACTACTGTACTTAATTCGTCCCATCACTTTTGGCGTGCCAAACTATGGCAAGTTTGATGCCGCCAACAAAGCTTGGAATATGTTGCATATACAATGGATTGTGGTACATTGAAATCACATTGCTCGGTCCCCTTTTGCTGAGGTGGCCTGACTTGACCAGTCGTTTGTATAATTGTTTGCATGTGTGCTCGATACGGATTTCTCGTTTTTGAGTCTGACTAGCTAACTTTGTATGTACCTATATAGTATCCGATAGTTGGACGGAACCCAATATAATTCAATGCAGTTCATCGTTTTAACACACCCGCAAATTACTGTAATTTATATAAGGTCTTTCCCTCCCAGCCTTGCCAGGCTGTGCCCCCGTGCCGCTGCCTTCGCCGAAGCCCGGCATCGCGCCAGTGAGCTCCAACGTGGTGGCGCGACGACCGCGGGCACGCAGACGGAGACCTTGGCGAAGTTGAAACTTGGATGAAAAAAGCCAAGGGAACCAGGATTGGCACCAGTTTGGAAAATATTTGTGCGGGGGAGGTCAGAGGTCAGAGGCTTCCTTGGTGGGTTGAAGTAAGCATGTGTGTATTCCAAATGTGTCAGTCAGTTCACTGGATCGAATAAGGTTGTTTTCTTACAACATCGCTTGCATATAGTTCTATCGAAATTCAAGCGTTGTGCATTTAGAAGTACTGTATCCTCTTCCAAAATATGGCGCGAACACTAAAGTTGCAGGCATGAATGGTTTGAAATGGGCCTATCTCAATAGGCTGAGGGGCTATGACGACTTGGTCGGTCGAGGGGCAGTGCAAGACACGCAGGCTTTTTTCTTGGCTGTTTACTGTTTCACTACTATAAAGATACCTGGATCTTCGAAACGGCACAAATAATTGCCTTTTCAGGAAAAAAATGCCACCTCTTCTGGTATCACCTCTTCTGGATGTTTTCCTTCACAGGGCCAAGAGCACCACCACATGTTCCACCCCCTTTCCCCGTTGCAAGGTACAAGTCTTGGAGCCGCTGACCAGAGCTCCCGCGTTCAGAGCTCCATGCACCGGGCACCACGGACGCACACAGACCCTGTGAATCCCTGTGAGTTCCGGCGTGCTTGGGACCCCTGGTTTGTCCCACCGAAGCTGAACAATATAGACTACTTTACGCAGGTCTGGGATGGTCCAGGTTCCGGGTTTGGGGAACCGACCTGCCGGTTTGGGTAGCAAACGACTGGGACACGAAGTTGGTGGCGAGCCCTCCGGTTCGGTTGAGACACGCCATCAAGTCACCCATGTCTTTTCAGTCTCTTCTGGCCGGAATCAACCGGTTGCTCCGAAAGACTGCCGTCCAACCGATTTGGAAGAAAGATGTGTGTGTGTATTCACGAAAGCTAGCCTTAGCTAGCTGGAGTTGCTCTTGCTTTAGCAAGTTAAGTGACGGGGTGGACGCACCTCAGAAACCTCAAATAATTGATTAAATCAATCTTATGGACCCCCCCCCCCCCCGCGGTTCGACTCCCCCCTGCGCGCGGTGAGCGGGACCACCAAGCAGCTGCAGCACACCAAGCATCTGCAGCGCCCAGCGCAGCACCAGCAGCAGCAGCAGACCACTCAGCGGCGGCCGCAGCAGCAGCAGCAGCAGCAGCAGCATACCCAACGCCGCGGCAGCAGCAGCCGCAGCAGACCACCCAGCGCAGCAGCAGCAGCAGGCGACCCGGCGCCTGCAGAGCACCCAGCGCAGCAGCGCCCAGCGCAGCAGCACCAGCAGCAGCAGCACCAGCAGCAGACCACCGGAAGCCCGGCTAGCTTTCGTTCACCCCCTCTGGCCTCAAGTTCAATAGGGGGACCCCAATCAAAAGGTTTGGGTCTAATTTCCCTTCTTCCACTGGGTTGAACTGGGAGGTCTCCCTATTTGATCTACACAGCCATGTGTGTGCCGTGCCGTGTGATGTTCACCTGGTGAACATCACAGCGAAAACCATTCAGATGGGTTTTGTCCTTCTTTGGGGAGAGGAGGACGGTTCCCGGTTCGAAATAAAAGCAGTGCACTCCTCTTTTTTTCGGCACTCCTAAAGTCATGGCAGATGGACCAGGCGAAGCCAAAAGGAAACTTCATTCAACAAAGCAAGTCTGAGAGACGTGGGAAGCTGCTGAGAGACGTCTCTCAGGCTCATTGGCATGAAAGTTCGCCATCTACATCAGCATAGTAGCTTGAGGATTTGGATTTCACCTGCCATGCAGGTCAGTTTCAGGAACTCCCTGCTCTGAAAAGTGCCGGTTGGGCACGAAGCGATGTGCTTCATCGACGCTCTTCGGCGATGTGTTCAGCTCCAAGCGTGGCAGTGGAGCTCCAAGTCCAGCCATCAGGACCGAACGAAGAAGGCCGGTTCTCCGCTGGGGGGAAACCGTGTGACCGATGTTTTATGGTGTCCCTAGGGATCCGGTCGTACCGAACCTCAGGTTAGGTGAGGACGGAAACACTGCTATATGTAGCTTCCGGTTCGAAGAAGGCAATTATACCGAGACCCATTGGTTGGAGGCCTCCATACTAAAAATACACACCCATGTGGAGACACTCTTCATGACTTCGCGTAGCGGATCGGAGCCCAAGGCTCCATGTTCGCCCTCCAAAATCCAGTGAACGCGAACCCCCCGTTGCACGATTGCAGGAGTGAAGTGACCACCAACACCTGGACATGAATTGCCACCAGAAGCCTTTGGAGATCGCCAGTCTGGCGAAGTCCGAGTCTGGGCGGTGTCAGTGCCTTACCCAAACCAGCTGTTTGGACGGGAAACGAAGCTTTTGCCGGAGCTTTGAGCAGCTGAGAAGTGGGACTGAGACGCGCAATCCACACACTTTATCCGTGCCAAGGAGAATCTGTGGAATTCTTCCACGAGAATCTGCCGTGCCAACCCTTCGAGCCGTTCCAGGCCACAAGGGGCTTTCGAGCAGTTGGGCCTGGCCTGCTCACCCAGAAAAGCGGCGGCAGAAGTGTCACTGGGAAGACACATTCGGGAAAAGCATAAACTGGTCTTTGAAGAAATTGATCCAAACCTTCTCAACCAATCCCAACTGAATTGTAGGCTATGAATGGGCCTATAGGACTCCTGGAAGACTTGCTTGCTCAGGAACATTGCAATCGGCTATGAACATCAATGGGCTCTGATGTCACAACGTTGGATTGTAAACATGCTCCATTGATGTACAGGCTCGCTTGGCCAATGACATACACTGACGTAGTCATATGTCGGCATGTTCACCCTCTACATCATGTTAGAGTGTACGGGTTGAGGCCACCATATTCAAAAGTCTCCTGTATGTTGTGTCTTAAGAGCTTACCCCATGTTACCCCCAAGGCTTCAACACCACAGAAGCAAACCAAACATCAACATCCGTCGACCACAGTGATCCACTATTCTGCGACAAAGATGCAAACTGTATCGACATAGTTATCCAACTGTGTGATTGATTGGTTGATTGATTGAGGCAATTTGTATTGACATAGATCTTTTTTTGATTGACTCTCCAATTTTCAGTCTTCCAAGATCAGTGTCCCTCCCTACAAACTCCGGCAACCAGGTGCAAGCAACGCGAAAATCAAGCTGAGCTTCACTCGTGCGGCTAAAAACAAACAAAAAGGAAGCGTAAAGCTTTGGTCCGAAGAGTTGTGCCAAACAAAAGGTCTGAACAAATACGGCCAGGCACCCAGTGTACAAAGTTTAACGACGATATCGAGTAGTCTTTACCAAAGACATGTTGTTGAGGGTGAAGGGTGTGCTTCTGCGAACGCTGTATTCGTCGGTGGCACTCACATGAGGGCTATGGGTTTACGGTAGAGCCGCAGAGTTTTAGGTTTACTCGGGGAAGCCATTGTAGCCAGTCGCCAAGAACCCAATCGACTTTGGGTGCAGCGGAGCCGTTCCTTGATGACTAGTGGTTTCAAGTATTGAACAATGCATCCACATATATAGAAGCTGTTATCCCAAATACACCTATACTGTTAATTGGTCAAAATTACATGCAGTATGAAACCTTTATCTAACATGGAGTGGTAACTGACTTCCACTAATTCTCCAAAGTGATAGCTAGAAGGCTTCCTGATCACCCTGCTCTAGTGGTCAATGCGGCATTCGTTCATCGCAGTTCCCCACTCCCAAGGATGCGCCGTTGCCACACCACTCCCACCGCGCTAGCTGCATTTTGCATCGGCACGGCGACCCAAATCGATCGTGTTGATGCTTTTAAGTGGGACTATAAGACTAGAACACACATTAACTATCCACCAACCACAGGGGGACACAAATCCATGAGCAGTGGTTTGGAATCCACTGACATTCTGAGCTATTTTTGATGAATTAAGCTCACAGCTGAGGCCTAACTGATAAGTCTAATCACATCTAATCACAAAGGCCCCGTGGAGTTCTCATCGCCTGGAACGCCAAAACTTGGCCCCCAACATCTTTCACTTGCAGCATTTCCAAATCCAGCAGGATCTTGTTCAGCTTGCGGGGACAATTCCCAAAGAAGATGTTTCAGAACTTATTCTAAAACCACAACGGCATTCGATGGCAGCACTTGTTCACACCCCAAACACTTGAAACACATGACGAAGCATGACGGTTCCGCCCGGCCTCGACGGTCGAGGTTTGACTTCTTTAAGCCGGTCGGCTGGTTCCACATGGGCCCTGTGGTGGATGGCAAGTTGCTCGGAGGACATGGGCTTTTTGCGGCGGAGTGTGATGGGGGAAGAGAGTATAGAAGCCTGCGGGGAAGAGAGGGACGTCATTTTACCTGGTTTTGTTTGTTTCAGAAAAGGACGTTCTTTTCTCGCTGGTGGTGAATCCCCAACCCTGGGGAATATGTATGATTACGTTTGTATGTTGCCATAGACCATAGACAGTCCGGTTCCTGGACAGGAAATTCAAGTTTCTCTTTCCAAGCACCAAGTCAATCATGGTGCCCTCTTTTCAAGAACGAGGCGAAGCGACGCCAGAAGATCCCGGCGTAGGCGTTGGACATGTACACCCACTCTATGCCACCATGGACTCTGACCAAAGCCTTATACATATATATCTAGCACGCACTCAGTGCGGATGAACCTCCTTGGGAGTGCAACAACATTCCAACAACCATTGTTTTAGTCGTTTTTTAGCAAACAACCACTGTTTTATATTGGATTTTCGACTACCTAGGTCAGGTCGATACTGGAACGAGACTCAAAGGAGTCCATTTGGCTACATGTCGCCACGTGCTTCAAAGGACAGTTTTTAAAACATACGTTGCAAGGAATGGCAGGCAAGAACACTGTTTAGTTGTTTTGCAATAAATATGCTAATCCCGAGCCCGGCTATTTAAGTCATGAATGAAGCCCCCCACTGGATGGCCACTCGCCACCGTTGCGACTGCTGAACATGTGAGGGCGAAGAATCTGTGTGGACAGTGGCCTTGTTTGAAATTGAGAGAGCTCAATCATGTAGACTCATGAAACCTCCCCATGTGAAGATAATCTTTTGATCCAAATGGGGGGCTCAAGAGTCTACTTGAGGTTTGGTCACATCATGTAAGTTCCCCGTCCCTGCTCCCGACAGTCCAGCCCCGCATGGCCTTTGCTGCGGGGCTTTAGGTACAGCATCGATGCCTACATGAACTGTGTGGATGCTTGCTACCAGACCCTCAAGCACAAGATGAATGGCAGGCACCACTCAGCTTGCTCCCAGCAGGCCCCAGCTTCGTAGCCCAAAGAGGTTCCTGTCAAGGAGTGTCCCAACCATCGGCAACTCACAAATATGCTCCCCTTTTTTGCTCTCTCTATGATACCACTCTTAAAAAATAGACATGGGCCCCTTGCTTGAGAAGAAATGCCATTGCAGAGAATTGTTTGGGCGCGTTTGGGCCCGTTGGGGCGATGCGTGTTTTGCTGGCTGGCTGAAGGATCTGACTGAGTGGATCATCCGATCGATTCGATCGATCTGACTGAGTGGATGGCACAAGTGACGACCCCTTTGGTGGTTCGGGCGTGGACCCAATCTGGTCTAGGACATCAAACGGGGCGCCACCTCTGACAGACCTCCAGGGACCTTTGAACCTCGGGACCTTCAGTGAAGTGGTTGACATATCAAGGTGTGGTCTGTGAATAAAGATGGGTGTGGCCCAGGTCTTTTCAATCAAACATGGATAGCTGGACAGGCTGTTAGCACGTGTTGGCTCTCTGATGGGCAAAGGCTAGATCGGCTAGATTCTACGGTGCTTTTGTATATTCACTATTATTCACTATTCAGTTAAAACATTGCTTGAGGTTAGTTACGTAAGACACTGCAAATTGAATTGAATGTAATGTGTTGTTAAATTCATGTGTTTTTCTGAAGGGTCTGAAATCATCCTCAATTTGATCGGCTTTTGGATGGTTTGTTTGTACTCGGCTGCTGTCCAACAAAAGAGACTCACAATGGTTCAGAAAATACACATTCTGAACTTCATCTATAGAATCTAGTCCTTTTCTGGGCTGATGCACTTCGTTCAATGCGTATTCTACGCCGCGCGATGGACTGAAGTATTGTGTAGCACCTGGGATTGAGGCCCAGGTCATCTGCATTTGAAAACGGTTGGACAGACAGAATGTACGAGAGATCGTGAGACATATAATGTTACCCTGTTACCCAACTTAATATAGACTCTTCATTAAGAACCCCCCACGTTTGAGTTGGACATCCTCTTCATATAGGGGTTGTATTATTAATCAAGAGTTTAGATTATTGCGGATTGAAAGTAGATGGAAAGGCCTTTGCTGACCATCACGGACTACAACGTCTTCCACACGGGCGGGGGCTCACAGAGGGCGGCGCCCGACGCTGTCTTCCGGCGCGGTCTTCCGACGGTCGGAGGAGATCGAATGCAAAGTAACAGGGATGGACTGTGTCATAGCAGCTGAAAGTCAGATGACAATGGGAGCCGTTTGGAGGCTTTGATAGGGGTCCTCACTACAGAGTGAACCCTCAAGACTCAAGATTTTGCCTGAGTGTTTGCTGTCCAATCTTCAGTTTCCGGGCTTTGCAAATGAACATCAAACAAAGAATATGGCAATTTACAAAGCCTGTCCAATGGATTTTTGGGTCATGCAGCTGACCCTGGCTTACCCTCTAGCAAAGATAGAAGTGGCGCAGACATTCAATCTCCATTTGTCTATCTTCCAAAACATGAGGCCATTGCAACGGCAAATGTCCAGCAGTTTCACAATCAACTATCTCATCGAAAGTGGTCTATGATGGTCTATGATGGTCTATGGGTTTGTACCAATTCGCTTTCACATCGCTGATTCTGCTCAGGTGGAGGATATCATGTAGTGAAGAAAGCGCCCGGGCCTCCAGTCGCCCGCTGCGGTCGACGGTCGATGGATGTTGTTGAGAACACGAGAGCAGATGGACTCAGGGGGTGGACAACGTCGTTGCCGTCGTTGCCCGCAACAACTCGAAACGTTTTAAAGTCCTGGTGACAGTTGGACAGTTCGAAGCAAACAGAGACAGATGAAACAGATGACAGATGAAACAGGACACAGAAACAGATAACAGTCCTAGCAAAACAGATGAAACAGATGACAATTATTCGTTACTTTCGACACCACCTACCTCCCTCCGCGGTCGGTACCGCAGCGCGGGTGGTACCGCAGCGCCGGCAGGTTCGAGCGTTGCATCCGTGCGGAGGATCCGAAGACCAAGGCGGCGGAAGAGAGCGGACCGGCATTGGTTCCTGCCCAGACGCGACGTTCATGGGCCCCTGATATGGAGGGGTCTGGGGTCTCAATTCCCTAGAGTTTTGAGGGACCAGTCGGGCTGTGAACGGAGCGTTTGGGCGCTTGATTTTGTGGCGGAAAATAGGATCCCTAGGGCTCCAGTCGTACCTTCTGAGAAGGTGGGACTGGGTGGGTGCCAGGAGGTGTTTGGATGGATGATTGGATGTTTTCTTTCTCGGTTCCTGGGTCCAAGTATCCAAGGAAGCGACCAGGGGAAGAGGGTTTTTCATCAGAGCGTCCGCGGAACGACGGAGTGGCGATCGTGGCGATCGTGACGGGCACCGCCCAGGCGCCCAAAGGGTACTACAAAAGCTGGAGCCCTGGTCCACGTAGCTTGACCTTCTAGGTCCTAGGTAGGTCAACCAAGGCACCCTGGTTTTCATCCACGGACCCACAGCAAAAAAGCGGCCGTTTGTTTGTATTTGAGCTATTGGAGTTTTCGAGTGTTCTGTACCAGTCAGGAAGCGTGGACCCTTTGAACGAAGGGCCCTGATGTTTTGCCTTAAGACTCAAGACCAAAGCCGTTCTGTTTTTTGGGTGGGGATCAAAGCAGAGACGAACGGAATCCAACAGTTCAGGTACTGGAGAGAAAACAAACATTCATGCCGCTGCCTACCGGAATCGACTGCATGGGAACAGCCGGACTTCCTACCTGTCCACGCCTGCCCAGACTTGTTAAGCCCCTGCAGTTCAGAGATCTCACCGAAATGACATGGTCGAGGGTTTTGGACCCCAACGATATACAAGGTTTCAGTCCGTTTCGGGAATCATCAGCCACCACCGTTTCACCAACGACTAAAAGTCAGCGACGCCAGGCAGACGTTCGAGAGAAGTATGTGCAAGAGAAGTTGCTTCCCTCAGCCACCTGGCAGCAAGGCCAAGCCATTTGAATTGATCATTGAAAGAAAACCATGTGAGAAAACTCCCCAAACCATGTGAGCCACTCGAATTTCGTGGCTTCCCACCTGAGAAAAACATATTCGATACTGTATACTCCAAGCCAGTTCAGCCGCGGGCGGGGTCCTGCTTCTGTTCGGAGCTTTCGCAGAGCTTCTCGCAGCGAGGTGAACTTGCTGAAGATCATCGGTCCGTGCCACACTGTGCGGGTGCCTGGTGGTCGAGGGATCCCAAAGAGAGTCTGCCAAACATGTGTGTTGCTGAGATTTGCATGGTATTTGAGTTGGTGTAGGACCTGTAGGATGTTGTCAACTCGTGCAAGAACCACAAATTCTATTGTAATTTCCAGCAACTAGCCTTGGATTCACCCATTGTTGGAGTCGAGCCATCATCTTGCCAAGGGTACCCAAGAATCATGAAGTTAACAGTTACCACAACCAGGCTCTGAGGATGAACAACCAAGGTTTGGGTCGCGAGTTGCGTGCGAGTTGCATGGAGTTGCAGGGGTTGGGAACCTTCACCCATGGCCTCAAGTGGACGGCTTGAGACCCTGAGACAAGAACCTGCACGGAGCGCGAGTTGTGCGAGTTGAGGTGTCATCCTTCTTGAACATCAGTTCGGTGGTGATGACACAGTGGGACGAGGCCTGACACACCCAAAGGGTGTGAGATGGTGTGAGTGACTTGGGGATTTGAGGAGAGAGAGGCACCAGAAAGGGCCTCAACTGAGCGAAGAAGAATGCTGCAGCAGTTCCGAATTGAGATTTTTTTGTTTGAAAGCAAACCACTTCTTCACACGCCAACCATGTGCGCGTCCGATTCAAGAGGTGCAGATGATCTCTTGTATACCAGCAAAAAGGAAAGTTACAACCAATTGATCGGTTTCAAAGTGCTCGGATTTCTGTGTGATTTCCGTCACTTTCTCCTTGTGTACCTACATGACCAGACCAGCATGACCTACATGGTTGCCAATGTGACTGGAGTGCAGGTCTCCTTCTTTTTAGTGCCTTAGCAGTTCCATGGACCTCACATGACCTCGTCAACCTCGTCGAGCGATGTCGAGAAAAAGAAACCGGACCCCGTTGGACGAGCCACGCCACGCCACAGCGCCGTGAGTATGCGTGAGTCAGGCGCTGGGGAAGATCTTGTTGGTCTTCACCTATGGCTCGGGCTGTGCCAGTTGGATGGCCCAGATCTGGTGGTTTCTTCGGCGCTGGAGTCTCTTTGAGTATCTTTGAGTTAGGTAGTGTTAGGTGTTTGATCGTATTTCTTCGCTATGTGATCAAGCTTAACATGGTGGGTCCTCCGAATCGACGTCCAGTTATCAGGTTACTGGATGCTGTCCAATACCAACAGCATCAACCTGCAGTTAGCGTCGCTGACTGGGTCCTTGCGAGCCTTGCGTTTTTTAGCACCTGCAGGGCCCAGCTTTGTTGAAGAAACAACTTTGTGGGCCTAAACATGCATAAATCATGATCCGTGCAAGCTTGCATGGTTACCCAACGCGCCAAGATGAGTCGAGCACTGGCCTTGTCAAGATTTGAGGAATCGGTATACACAAGACATGCTCCATGCTGAATTCAAGATATGTCAAGCACCTGGAAATCTTTGGCAGTGTTCATGACCAACATCCCTGCAGCCATGTGGGTGTGTTTCTTAATTGATAGAGACCCACCAATGGGGCTGTGGCGGCTGTGGTCTATTTTCCTTCCAGGGTGTCTTTCGGAGGTCTCCCTATGCTAATACATCTATTCCTGAACCCTCCAAAGTACCAGTGAAGATGGGACATGTTCCTATAAAAATCAGATAGATGTTGTACCAATTTGTACCCATGTTCTTGGGACAACTTCGCGACCCAAACCGATTCCAACCTTCACACCGATTCTAATACGGTCGCTGTAGCGCGATTGTCCACGCTAGCCTAGGTTCCATGTACCAGCTTCGCTTCGATGACATCGCTTGGTCTCAGCCCTTGGAGAACGACCCAGAAACACGCGCGAACGCGCGTTCCACGCGGTGCGAAAGGGTTTTTTTGGGGGAGCCACCCAAGAACTGCAAAAGGCAGCAGCAGATGGCGGATCAGCAAGGGGTGTGAAGGTGAAGGTGAAGGTGCTTCTCCAATCAAATCACTAGGGCTCCAAGTACCTTCTAAGAAGGTGTCTGGAGTGGGTTTAGAGGGTCCAAATACCTTCTGAGGAGGTACTTGGAGCCCCGGTGATTCAATTGAAATCAGGGATGTTGAAGATCAGACCAACACCACGGTCACCACCCATCATCTACGTGTTCAGTGTTCAGCTGGTGAACATGGATGTGTTCGGTCTTCAGAATCTCAAGATGGCTCAGCTTTTCTTTCAAAGACCAAAATCAAATCAAGATCTCCAGATGGCTGCCAACCAGTGCCCAGCCAGTGCCCAACACATCAGACTGAGCACCTCGACTCCGGACGGCTCAGCAGAGGGTGCTTAGAGACAGAGCACCTCGACACCGATCCATTGGCGCTCGGATCAGATCTGAGGTTCGATCCATTGGCGGTTTGGAAGGTGAAGCAGTTCTACCGGAATGTCCGGAATGCTCAGAAGAAAGAGCAGTTCTTCGGGCACAGGTAGTAGGTATCTTTCGGAATCCTATAGGTGTATACTATATAGTAGTGTACTGGCGAGCGGTTTGAAAGGAGAAGTCTGGTCACTTTTTTTGTTGCACTTGTGTAGCATTGTAGCCCTGAGCACCAAGTAGACTGGGCTATATGGCTATATGGCTATACTACATGAATGGCTAAGGAGTTTTGTGCTGAAGAGATGTGAACAGACGTGGTGCTGAAGTGATGGAGAAAAGGATGGCGGCCCCCAAAGAATCAGATCGGCCAATTTAGACACGATCCATTCGGTTGGAATGTCAGTAAAACATGATGTTAACAATCATTTGCGTGTCTTTTGGGAGTTCCACTCCGCACATTATTCGCACCATGTTTTCAGGATGAAACCGTGGAATGGCGACAACCAGGATCCAACGACACCGACAGGTTGTCCAGGATATTCCAGAATTCTGACAGCCATGAAACTTGTTCTGGGATAGTACTAATTGCATTGCCTGCGAGATACATGGAAGGGGACAATCCCCCTGTTTGTAGATGGTAGTTGAAAAGAGTCTTCCAAAGGCTATTGGCTATTTTCATCTATGTTTACTTCCATGAGCTAGAGGTCAATAGCGGGTTTAAGGGTATTACATTTCAATACATTTCACGGCCCATTGGTCTTATACCCTTCGTTACCCCGCCCTCCGTGGCGGGTTCGTGTGGCCGTGGCCGCCCCCCGGGTTCGTGGCGGGTTCACGGCGTTAGGCCATCAACGTGCAGCCAGACCTCCGAATGCATCAGGTGTGCGACCGACCCCATGGGTTTTCCATGGGAGACGGATTTCTTGGGTTTGGTGGGAGACGGGTGATTGACCATTTCCCGGTTCCGGGGTGAATCCCCAAAACTGGGAGTGGTGTTTCCCGGTTCCTTAACCAGATCCAAGCAGTGAGTTTATGAAGCTTCCTGGCTGGTTGATTTTGTATGGAATAGTATGGAATAGGTCAATGTGAGAATGTTGAGTTTGGATGAGATGCTGTCACGAGCTCCAAAGCTAAAGAATCGCACGCTCCAAGCTGGGTATTTTGACTACGACCCAGCAGTCTTAATGGAATAGATAAATACAGCGCATTACAGCGCCATTGACCTGAGATCATGGACCTGAAGAGGCCTTCTGGTCGTTGTGCAGTGGGTTCTACCCTGCGGAATCAGTGTCGCATCGGTGCAAATAGGGTTTCTGGAGTCTACACTATATATATATATATTCATTTTAATTGGCCTAGAACATGTTGCAATTCTCACAGGAGATATGGATGAAGTATGTCTAGTTGTATCCTAGTTGCTGTTTGTTTTGTGAACGGTATTTGAGGACAGACTCAACTGCATGTTTCTTTTCCACAGCCCCTTTGGTTTGCGCAGGTCTACATCGACACATGGATGAAGTTCGACTACAGGCGCCGGACTGAGTGTGTTCGATCTCACAGATATGCAGTGCTTTCACAGACATGCAGTCAGCTTTCGCTTTTCAACTTGAATAAGCTGGACATGCTCAATCCGTTGTTGCGATTGGCCTTCCAGAGCTTCTGGATGTCTTTAGGATCCTTTAGGATCATTAGGGCTCCCATCGCCATCTGGAGACCAAGTCGAAACTTTGTCAAGCTAGACTGGCAGGTGTTTGTATGAGGAGGATGTCTCTCTAGCTGGTGCCTTCGAACAGCTTCCTATTTTCCTATTCAGCTCGAACAAGTATGTCACGAACATGAGACTGAAGGGATTACACAAGCGCTTAGGTCACCGACGGATCTACCATGCGATGGTAACTAGGTGGTGTCAGTGTCAATGAGAAGAAAGCCAAGCCTGTATTCAAGAGACTGATGCAGAGCCACAAAGTGAACTCACAACATACTGTAGTAAAATACGGCCGATAGACTGATCACATATGATGAAGATAGGACATGATAGGACAACATCATGCGCTATCAGAAGAGGACAACAAGTTAAATGTTTGCAGTCGATGTATGTATACATGTACATGCAAAGCTACCTTGAAAACAAAAGCCACCTCAACAAAAGACTCAACCCAGTCACGCTGTTTGGGCTCGTTCCACAGACAGGCCTCATGGACGAATCTCCTTTGGCTTCGGCTATGACACCTACGAGCTGGAGATTGTGGGCAAATGAAGAATAAATGCGAAAAAAAAAAAAAAAACAACAACAACAACGTTTCATGAGCTTGTTGTTCTCCAGTCTCGATGCGGTTAGAGAACTAGTAGCAGATTCTATCAAAGTCCCCAAACTGTAGTGAGATTTGGGGACCAACGTTTTTGTGTTTTAAGTCAATTGCCAAAGACTTTCCTGGCAAACCTATGTATGCCACAAGTTTGGTACAGGGCGAGGCGCTGTCGTTGCGTCCGCTCCAGGATGTCTACTATCTCCTGGAGATTGATCCGTGGGGACGCCGCTTCTACCATCGTGGCGGCATGCGCACAGGCGCGGATTTTTCCTGAGAAGCTGGAATCCATTGTTTTAAGAATGTGTTCATCGCGTGCACGTACGCGGAGACCAAATGACCATGCAGCAACCCTGCGTTCAACCAGCTCTGATTACATGTCGCCATTTGAAGACTTTGTGCAAAGGTGTTGAAAGGTTTCTGAGACAGTGTGAGGGGAGCTACATGCAACCACTGAATGCCTGCTAGAAACAATACACCTGGCTCAAGGAGCTTCCACTACTCAGTACTCAGTACTCTCACGCACGTGTGAGAGGGCCATGCTTTTCAGCGTGTTGCCGATGTTTTTCCGCTCGTGGCGCTTAAGCCTAGCTGTGCGTAGCTTGGGGTCCGTGGGGTGTTCAGTAGAGCAGCTTGCCGGAGTTGCCTTAAACGCAGAGCAACTGCAGTACCTTGTTGAAGACGCGAAGACGCCTAGGAAACCTCAACATACTTCAAGACGTCCGCCAACTTCAAGGGCCCTGGGCGATGGCACCGGCACTTGGCGATGTTGTGATTGCGGCGATGAGAAAACACTGGCAGATTTCTATGTAAGAGCGACTGGATGCGTGCGCTCGTACTGCAAGAAATGCCACAATGAGAGAGTGGCTGATTACAGGCGAACTCTCCGCGGAAATGTAGCTGTTCTTCTTAGTAATGCGAGGAAGCGATCAAAGGTGAAAGGTTTGGCGTGCAGCTTGGACCCTGACTTTATCCTAAACACAATCCTGCGACAGAAAGGCAGATGTGCATATTCTGGCGTTCAGATGGAGGTTCTTTTGCCGCACTCAGACTGGCGCATGTCGTTGGAAAGGCTGGATAATGCTGTGGGGTATGTCCCAGAAAACTGTGTCCTGATTGCAGCTGAGTTTAACTCAACGGAGAAGATCAGCAGACGAGTGCCAAGTGATCCCAACGTTCGGATCTTCCAAGTGGTCCCTGCAGAAAGTTCAGAACGCTCAGAGCTGGTTGCGACAGTTGAACGTTGATTTGGAAGGCTTGCATGGGATGATGCAGGGTGCCCGAGAGAAGCGCCGGTCCCCTGTTGCAATGGCAGCCTCCAAATGTCAAGTTGCGGGACCCTTTGGGCACTTCAGGTGTTGGAGTTGCAAGGTTTGGAAGCATGCCAGCTGTTTCTCCTTGGACAGTCGTAGGATTTGGGGCCACCGGGGCCAATGCAAGCAATGCGCGAGAGAGTACGATTTGTCCCGTCGAATGACTTTACGTGGTCACGTCCAAAGCATGCTGAACCATGCGCGTGGCAGACACAAACGCGGCAAGTGGCACGGTAACTTTGAGATTGACTTAGATTCTGTGCTGAAGATGTTGTGGTCTCAACAAGGGCGCTGTTTCTACTCAGATGTTCCTATGCGTTTCGCTCAAGTGAATGTTGATTGTATGATGTCACTGGAGCGGCTGGACAACAGCAAAACATACACCACAGACAACACTGTGCTGGTGGCTTTGGAGTTCAATACCGCAGATCATAGCAGCAGGGCAGTTTCATCTGCGGTCTTCGGTTCAAGTCAGTGGTCAAGGAGCAAGGTGGACCACGTTTGGGAGAATTTGGAGAGCATAGCTGCTTCGTTGGAAGAAAAAGTAGATAAAGGCTCGTTCCTCCATTTGTTTTTGGGAGGGTTGATGTTCTTGTGTGGTGAAAGAGGGCCTTGGTTCAAGTATGTTAGTTGATGGACCATGGTTGGGCAGAGCATTCGAACCTTCAGCGCAAATGTGGAATCCCAGAAGGTTGTCCGCTGTTTGAAACGGATTTCATTAACTGACACCGGTGTTGACCACTTAAACATGTCCAATTCTCCAGAGATACGAGATACAGATACACATGTGAGCCGTTAGCTTTTGAACTACAGTTCTTTGGGACGATCTGCCTCAACAACGAAGGATTTTTGCCATTGGCATTATGGACATGTCCATTGTCCATCATGTTCCGTTGCCTCACCATCACAAGCTCAGACTATGCGCCAGTTCACAGGGTGTTTAGCTGATAAACGGTTTCAACTGATTGATACATCGAGCTCCGCGTTCCTCGATGTTGAGTTCTAGAAATCAATTGAACTAGAAACGATTTCTGCAACCGCCACAATCTCGAAAACATGATCACCCTATTCACTGTTCGATGGACACTTGGGTCGGGTCATGGCAACATTTTTAAATTCCGTCCTCAAACTCACATGGATGGCCTGCCATTTCGCCATATTTCGCCTGTCACGATCAGGGATGGCCTCGTTGCCCCGCGAGGCCCCATGAATCGGAAGGTGATGAACGCCACGGCCTTGAACTACGACAAGGCGACACAGAGCGGCGGGGTCTGATGCTGCCTCCTACGCCGGAGGGTGGGGAGGGCGAAGCACATAGGGGTTGAGGAGACCCAAATTCTATGTGTTCCTATCAATTCACTAGTTTAATGGGAAGTGAAGTGGAATCAAAGTTGTTTCACCGAGAACATGAGCCAGAAAACATCAAATCCACGAGTGGATCGACGGACGGAAAGCAAGTAAACTCAAAACCGGTGAGTGAACGCCCAGTTGCGTCATAGTCCGCAAAACACCGGGAGTTACTCCTTGGCTAGTGAGGGGACCATCCACAAGAGCATCCTTTTTGGACCTTGTAGGTGTCCAGGTCATGTCTGAAGGAAATGGGATTAGCATGGATTAGCACAGCACCTCACAGACTCACGGACAATGCAGATTCTGGCACAATATGATAAATTCCTGGACAGAGGTGTTTGAATAGGAAGCATTCGAGTGATCGGAAGAGATAGAGCAGTGGAATGTTGGCATAAAACTTTGTATCGTCAAGATTGGACGACTGAAGAAACTACTCTGTCCTTCAGGATACTGTGTGAGTAGTTCTGCACAGGTTTGCCGAGTTCATCTATACTATACCCATTTCTCTATGTTTCTCTACTCTACCTGGAAACGCAAAAGATACCAAGCAGATGGCCTTCATGCTCCACGTGGGGATGGTTGAATATCGATAGGCAATCGGTCAAAATCCTCCTGAAGTAGATGATAGCCAGTACGAAAAGCAATTCAATGATGTAGATATTCAAATTTATTCCTGTTCTTGTTGGAGTTTTACATTACTTGACCGTCACTGCATCACCCCAGTCCCCGGTCGCTTAAGCTTGGTCCCCGGTCGCACACCGAGCCTCGCACCGTTCCGGCTCGGGTCTTCCGGCAGGTCGAGAACCGCCACACGAGAGAGCACTTCGGACAGCTTCCGCCGCTTGGACGGGGGTGGTCCGACTGGTGATGGGTTGACCGACTTCGACTCGTTGACCGACATTGACCAGTGGTTGACCAGCACAGATGCATAGTGAGAATATAGTTTTCATATAAGGAAGAGGGCCAAACAACAGATGCATCGAGGCAACACTTGATGTCAACCTCCAAAGTCAGGCTTCCTCAGCACTGTTGTCTCCCCGGCGATGTTGATGCTGTCGTTGAGGCCCAATGGCGAAGCCTGGGAGAAGCAAGAAAACAAGGAGCCTCGCACCGACGTGACACGTTACCTAGCCGTAGCCGAGACCGATTGCGTCAAAGTGTGATATCCAAATTGCATCTGAGCCTCTTTGAGTCTCCAGTCACCAGTATGACCCTTTAGGTGTTGGGCAGGGGGCCTTGAAGAGAGTGACCGAGGGTGATGCCGTCAACTGTGAACTTGTAGACTGTCTGTTGAGAGATTGAAAGAGTCTCGAGCCCCCCCAAAAGAGCCTGGGCACGGAGAGTGCTGTGAGCCAACCGCTTGTTGACGGGGGGACACTCCGGACACGTCACTTAAAAGTGGACAAAATCTTGTTCATGAAGGTAGTTGTCTTTCCAGGCACCTTTTCAAATACTTTTATGAGCAGAACGGACTGACAGTTTTCCAACAACAGACTAAGCACAGTCCAGGTTTTCAAAACTTCTTCAGCTTTCAACTGACTCAAGTCCTTTTGGAAGTCATGTGTCAGTCAGAGTGTTGCGTCTCTTCGTCTCTTCGTCTCGCAGGAAGAGAAGGCTGCTCGATCGTTGGAGGATACCTGGAGGCCGTGGCGGCGTGCGCGTCCCCGTTGTGTGGCGGACGGACGACTTGGTTCTTGGAATCTGTTGAGATCCGCTGAAACCGTGGAGCAGTGGATGAACAAGGACTAACAAATAGGATTGATGAGGCGCTTGCAGATGTGGCGCTTCCTGGCAGATGTACCCGATTATAGACCCGATTATAGATTGGGCGTTTTCAAGAAGGTCTTCAAAGGCATGCACACAAACCGCATCAACAATGTTCTTTCCGCAGCAACAATCTTGTTTTATACACATTTTAAAAGATTGGATTAAAGGAATAACTTTCCGAACACTAAAAAAGAGCTCTAAACAATTTTACAAAAAATTTACAATGTTCAAAAGAACTTGTCAACATGCATGTCCGAACACTGGCCGAACACTAATATAAGGCTACAAGTTGTTCTTTGTATTTATAAATAACAACCGTTTGTCGCCCGAACACTGACCGAACACTAACATTTTGTGTAAACTTCTTTCCTTGTTTGAGCAGTGTAACTTCTAGAAGAAGTTGTAAAAGAAACTTGCAACTTTAATAATAAGTTGTTGAAAGAAGTTGACAGTTATCAACAGAAGTTGAAAGTTGCCAAACAAAAAAAGGTTATGAAATAAAGTTGCTATGGCTGTGTTACGTAGAGGCTTATTCGAGGTACAACCATCGCAGGCCTTTTGAAAACACTCAAATTATAGATATCATAGATGTGGCCCTTGCAGATGTTTGACCCTATAGTCACTTCTATCAAGCGAGTTATACAGTATAGTTACATACGTGACATATTCAACGGCAGTTGACCTCAGGTCCGACATGTTCGTTGCCTGGCACAGCAATCTGAAGAGGTGTTTTTTTTAAAGACCGGCTTGTATACAAAGCCCTCATCTCATGAGTGGTCTACATGTCTTTTTTGGCGTCTACTCACATCTACTCAGATTAACCACTGCACAGTTTACGCCCCATCCAGAAGGTCTCCAGAAGGTCTCCGATTCGGCTGCCATTTCTCCTCGTTGTGGCACCTTCCGCCGCCAGGGAAATCGAACAAGAGATGACCTTCGAACCAGATGTTCAGGTTGATGGCCAGCCAGCAGTTTCTTGGGCCGAAAGGGATGGCAGGAGGTGTTGAGCACTGAGTTGGCTTGGAGCGTTGTTGGTCCTTGAAAGATTGCTTTGGCTTGGAGAAGACCCTCTCTGACCCTGGAGATGATCTGGCACGTACATATGGAGTAAGATTTGGAAATGATCAGAAAGTATGGAAACGCAAGGAGAACAGAATCCTACACACACCCAGATCTAAGAACACCCAGTGCGTCAGAATCAGAAGCCACGCGAGGAACAGAGAACATTGTCTGTTAGGTCGACCTTTTGCCTTTTGCCTTGCAACACCTGCGCTGCAGCGCATGACTTTAGGCTGTGGTTCTTCAAAGCAGTGAAGAAAAGAGGTGTGAACATCGAACCCCCTTGGTGTGCACATGTGTGCACCAAAAGAAGGACACACACGCACAGACACACACACACACGCACCAGCAAAACCTGGTCCTAGAAACCTCATTGAGCTGAGAACTGAATGAGGTCAGTTCCTGATCGGGACCAAAGCTGTCGCCTGATCGCTGCGTTTGGAGTACCCAGGTGGTGGCGGAGAAGGTGGCGCATGGCCGCAAAGTGGTGGTGCGCGAGGTGGGGCGGGGTGAACGGGCGACGTGCCCGTGGCGCGCTGACGGTGGTGGCCACGAAGTGGTGGCCACGAAGCGAAAAGCCATGAGACGTGCTGTTGGCATGAGGAACACCGAGCCCAGTTGTGACCGAGCTAGCGCGAGAAGTTGTTATAAAGGTCACTAATTAGGAATTACCCTCCATCCAACAAACATGGTTACGTGGAACAAGGCCCCTTGGAAGGCTGAATTCCTCTATGAACAGGCTGTACTTCCACTTCCATGATTGTTTCCAGGGAGGGTATATGGAATTATTTAAAACCACCGAGAGTGTGGCCAGACTTTCAGTGAAGTGAAGATCCTAATCTGGAGAGTCTTTGTCTGCGACATCTTCGTTTGGGCGAACTCGTCGTGACCGACTTCTCCTGGGATCTCCAAGGGTCTTTTTGTGGTGCTGATGGTCTATTGATGTCTATTCCCAGAGCATCATATTTCCTGCATTGATCCCAGAAACCACACCAATGTATAGGTAAATCTGCCAGTCAATTGGATCGACCTGGGATGGTGTGTAAAGGTTTGTGAGTGACATACCTCCATGTCTTGAGCCTCGAAGCTGCTTGTGGGGTTGGTCCCTACCCTACGATTCGAGGAGGACATATCATGGGCACACGGTGAGTTTGCGTTGAAATGTTGGTGTTGTCACTAGTCAAACAGATGCCTGTGGCAATTTGTGGTTCCTGTATTTTCAGATGAGTTGACGTCGGACTGTGACATGATGAACATTGTTGTGTATGAAGCATAGGCAGGCAGACCTCCCATAGACTTTGGACAAGAAGGACAATAGTGCAAGAAACACCCAACACCAAATCGTCGGGGTCTCCCTAGTACAATACCCATATATGCCGATCAGTTGGGATGGTGTCAGAGGGGTCAATTGATCGATAATATATGGCAGTCCCATGGGTCGTGTCTGGGATACACAACCCGTGTAAGTCTTCTGGCTTAATGGCTATCAGCAATGCTTCTCCGCAGACGCTCGGCCTCAGATTGGAGCTGCGGATGACGATGACGATGAAGAAGGCCGGAGAAGGTTTCTGGAGGGTCTTACTCAACAGATATGAAAAGTGTTGGGCATACACTGGCCAGACAAAAGTTGCGCTTCTTGAAACACAAACTCATGTCAACCCTCTTACCCCCTTGAATTCTACAATTGGAAGACCCGGGGCCAGGTGGGCGGTCATGTTTCACACCGATAAGTTTAAAACGGTGTGATACTCGACCGTCCCACACCTGCCACGAAACTTGGTAATTCGATCCGCAGCTGAACATGGTTAGCAAGCATAAACTTGTGTTTACCTGAAGTATGTGTCACATTTTGTCACAAGGGTGAGATACTTGCCTTGATTAAGCCAACCTCCAGATCGGTGTAGAGAACTATAGCTTAGAACATGTGTATTTTGCGGACAAAGGTAGAAGAGCTAAGTGCAGCCTTGTATGAACAATTGTCCACCAGTGGCACTTGCTTTTTCACCTTTTTCTTGAATCCTCGATTGAGCCAGGCCCAGACACTCCATGTGTGATTCTTGAAAAACATACATTGACCCCTTTTCAAGACCCATTGACCTGATAGGGGTCAATGGGGTCATATTTTATAAACAATGGGGTCAATGTGTGATTCTTGAAGAGTTTGATCTATACATTGACCCCTTTTCAATCCAGTCAGGACCTGACCTGAGTGGGAGTCAGGACTGCCAGTTCCATGGGCGCCTTAGCCCTTTTCTTCTCATCCTTGTTCTCCAGGCGCTGAGACCAGCTACCAGATCGTAGGCCAGCTTCGTCCGCTGCATGATGACATGTGAATGTGTGAGTGTGTGTGTGTGTTTTCGCCTCTGCATGTGTCGCGTGCTTCCGGGCAACCAGTTGTAGGGTGGCTGGTGCCGTGAAGAAGTGGCCATGAAAACTCCGAAAAGGGTAGTACGTTTGCCTGGTGTTCACAGGGTTTTCACAGGGCTTTCAGGGGTTTTCATGGGGTTTTCGCAGGGTTTTCACGGGTTGAGTTTTGAAGTCTTTGGGCCGTCAAGTTGACTGTACACCCCAGCAACTAGATGGCCCCAGAAGATCTCTATTGCTTAAGCATCGTTGGTCAGACTCATGAACTAGCGGGTTCATGTTTCCGGTTAGGCCAGTTTTTATTAAACGGGTCGGTCACCTAGAACGACCTAGAATATTGTAGCAGTACGTGATACACATCTATGCAATTCTATGCACGTTTTTTCATCCGTGTCCAACACCTGTCCTTCCAACGTGCCAGTACGCGCCAGTACTATTCTCATGCAGACCCCAGCCGCCATGCTCCGGTGCATTTCGCATGACCATGACCACCATACCATGACCACCATGCCATGACCGTTGTTGCGTTTGGAAAGCCATTGGCCTTTTCCCACCGGAGTCGACCTGGTCCCCATGCGACCGGTCTCCGCTTGGTCCGTCTCCGTCTGTCCTCCCTCTCACCAGGCACCTGGACAGCCCTCAAGGAGGCGGAAGACATGAAGAAGTCAGAGGACAAGCTGCTCGGCTTTCCGAGATCGGTGGTTTTCACCGACCCCCGCCACTTCCCCCGCCTCCTTCACTCGACCCGACCCGACTGGCCGACTCGGCCTAATTCGGCCACTGAGATGGGGTTGGAGGAGTCGATCATGGGGTGAAGTCGCAAAAGCGTCACAGAATATGGGGATCTCGTAGATGTTGATTTCCTATACTGCCATTGGTCCAAAAAGAATCGATCGCGCCACCACTTGCGCCACGATCGCTCCCAAGGTTCATCTACGAGGCGCGGTGGTGTGGTCCAGTCGAGTCGAAGACTTCAGGTCACGGAGGTCGAGTTGAGTGGTGTATATGTTTACACACTAGGGGTTCTTACGGTAGGAGAAAAGCAGCTGATGCTTTGGTGTCCCACACTGCCACGTATTTTAAGCAGATGTCCGAAAAGCTGATTTTCTCGTGGTTCTTCATAGTGACACGGGTCGGAGAGAGAGAGAGAGAGAGAGCTGGCATTGCAGCCGGTAAATTCACTCATTCAGTTTTTGTTCACTGATTTGGTCATGGCTCTTCAGAAGAAGGACATGAGTCATAGAAGATCTTGTGGTCAATCTTAATCCATGGCCTCTTGAAATCTGTTCATTGGCTTGCCTTAAAGCAGAAGAAAAGGGTGTCCTGACCAGGTGAAGCTCTTTTTCTTGTTTTTCGACTGAAAAAACGCATGACCGGCTGGAGGTCTCTTTGGGCGTGAATGGCTGGGAGCAGCCGGGGGCGCCTAATGGGGCGAACGCGGGTGGAGAAGGGAAGGATGTGAACCAGATACTAAGCCCAAACACGACTAATGGGACTGGCATAGGACTGCCGCCCCATTGACCCCCCTGGCACCATCCCATCTGATCAGCATATATGGCAGTCCGATGGAGTGACTAGGAAGTGTTTGACCAGGTGTTCTCGAATTTCTTAGACGTGTGGCCGGACCTGTGGTAGGTTTCGATTACTATCTTGGCCTCTGTGGTGTACTGTCTAAAACTCTTTAACATATTTGAAGGTGAACACCTTAGCACATGATCTAGGGATGGGCTAGGTCATCCCACAAACCGGGGTTTGAGATGGGGGGAGGACCTGCATGGAGGGTGCTGTTTACTTCGTTCGAGCGTGGGATACCATCATTATACCTTTTTTTTCGCGAATCTGGTCTTTCATTAAACATTGTCGAGATGTTCATGGTGCAGGTAGCGTGATGTGACCCAGGAGTTCTACATGTTGAGGCTGTCTTTTGCACCCGTAAGTGCAGACTGGAACTCCTCTCTTTTGGGGCAGCCAACTCCATGGGGCTGCTCTGCAGCACTGCAGCCCGGCCTTGAGGTTCTACTTGCTCCGGAACAACAATTGGTCCAAGAAGATTTACCCGGCCGTGCACAAGTCTTGGAAGGACAGGGCAACATCCAGTGACATCGGAAATCCCGGTCACAAGCGGAACAGAGTATTTGCTGAGGTCCTGTCTCATATCTCATGAAAGAACCTGAAGCCAGTTGCTGGTAGCTAAAACTAAAAATAGAAACATTCTTTTCGAGGGGGACTGTATCTGGAGTCCCCGAGATGCATCCCGCATTTGTTGGAGTTCAAGAGTTTCTTTGTGGTTGTTTGTTTTTGTCAACTGCATGAATGACTGAATGACCATGGATAGGTCACGATAGGTCATCAGTTCTTTGCAATGAAGCTCCCCAAAGCCCAGGAAAGAATCCAGATTGATGATCATAAACGCTGAGCAATGCTGAGCACATTGCTGAGCAATGCTCTAGCCCTATATAGGCTATTAACTCCATCCCATTCATAAGCAAACCGAGAGGGGCGATCTATAGGGCCCATGTTATGTCAATCTATCGCGAGTTCGTCATGCGACACAGTCCGTTTTTCGGTCAACGCATAGCCAAGAGGACAAATTTTGGGGAGAAGAGAGATCAATTCTGAGTACGTCCCACCATCCCGATTCTGTGCAAGGTAGTGTTACCAGGACCCCTGGATTCTCTTTGAATGTCATACCCTTCCACCAGACTCTCAGTACAATAAAAGAGTATACCTCAAGAGTCCTATTTTGGTTGTGATCGTTAATTCTATCTTGTTCAGGAGTCCTACACCTGCCTATAGTTTTTCTTGGAAGAGCCCAGCCCGAGAGATCGGCTTTGCGATTCGATTCGTCCAAACGCTGGGCAGATGGTCGAGACCATGGGCAGGACATGCCATGTGTGGGCCCCCACAAGGGCCGTGAACGCCCAATGTGCCTTGGCAGTCAAAGTTAGCACGCAGTACGGGCAGATTTTTTGGGGCTTCCACGGGTTCTTGGTCAGTTAGAAGTTAGAAGTTAGAAGCGTTCATGTCTGGTGGATTGGCCTTCCATCAGACCCACCTATGTGAAGCATTTGACCACCATTTGTTGGCTTCATTAGAATATTGATGCTGCATGTCGCCTGTCTTCGACTTCTTGCTCCATTGTAGGTTTCGTCTCAGCTCTGCAGAGCTGGGTATGAACCAACGATCCGGTGATGAACCTCAGCCCTCCCAGCGATCCAGGTGTTGGCAGCTCTCCGGTCGACCCAGTTGGGATCTGCCCGGCGACGACGAGGCGCCCGTCGGAAGCAGGCGCCGGTGTCACCGTCCTCACCGTCGCGTCGGGAGTGGTGGTGCGTTCCGAACGTGGACGGGGGACGGGTTGTCAGGGCTTTCATGAACCAAGTATGACCAAGTATGGGCTTTCTTTTTCATGAACCAAGTATGACCAAGAATGTCTTTTTCATGAATGTCAGGGCTTTCATCTTTGCTCTATAGATTTCTTGGAGTTCATGAAAAAGACATTCTTGCGCAAAGATGACGAATCAAGCTTCCGCATGACAAAACCGTGCGACGACGCCATCCAAGAATTCTCCCAAATAACCTGAGAGCTTTGCACAGGGGTGCACCGGTTAAATGCAAGTGAAACAGAATCCTCCAAATGCTTTTTTTTGAAGCCAAGTTAGGTGTGAGCTGTGAGCTAATAGCTTGCGGAAGTTGAGAAGTTGGACAAATCTATGCCCCAAACATCTCACCTGTTGCCGGCTTTGAGAAAGGACGTTCAGCGTGGCGTGGGCGCGTGGGCAGGTTTTGCATCACCTTCACTCCCGGCAAGGCGGCCGGGTGGAGGAACGGCCGTGGGTGACCAGGAAGTTGCTGGGAGTTCTTTCTGACGGTTAAACATATCCCAAACACTCCATGATACTCCATGTAACGTATGGAATATATGCCTACATTGACCCCTCTGACACCACCCCAACTGATCGGCATGTACGGCAGTCCCATCGAGCGTTTGGGTATGTTAAAGTCCTGGGAGCTCGTGAAGGCTGCTTTCTTTTCTGCCTGTGGCACCCTGATGGATCCTGTTTTTGGCTGAATGTTTTCTGTTCAGGCTGATGATGTAGCCCGAATGAGCTGCTATAGGGATATTTGATCGCGGATCTAGCAGAGTTAGGATTTTTCTGACAGAATGAAATCACGAATCACTCTAAGCAGACTAGTAAATATTTATGGTATTTAGCAGACTTTTAGGTACCCCGCCCTCTTCAAATCCGGCCCGGAAGAGCTCCAACCACACTCCACTTGAAGAACTGAGCCAAGGGTATGAGAGGGGATACACGTCCTGCCATAGAGAGTCTGCGTTGCAAGTACACTTCAGGAACTGCTGAAAGGTATTGTCCAAGTGCATATTAAATAAAGGGCCGCTTGAGATTCACATGTGTTGCTAGCCAGCCCAAGCCTTCTTCACAATAAGAGTATATATATATATATATTTATATTTATATATAGTAGGAGGCCGGCGCCGCTATCTTAATTTAACACTTGTATTAACGCATTAACTAATTACATCAGCCTCTTATTATGCAAGCACTTTCTATATGGAAAGTCTATTTAACTCTCAAAATTCCAGCATCTTATGACGCACCCTCGATTGGACAGTGATTCTGCCTCTTCCCATCGCTATAAATCCCTTCCCTTTTGGTGGAACGGATGCCCCACACCGCTACGCACAACGGCGGCCAGGTGAAACGCCTCACCTGGGAGAAGCTAGAGGAGGAGCCAGCGAAGGTCTCCGACGACGCCTCCACGCGCCTCGGTGTTGGGCGGTCGGGTGGATGAGGTGGCGCCCCTGTTGGCGGGTGGCTCTGGCGTGGCAGGGCATCTTTTGTTGAGGATGAAGAGTCATGTTGGACCATTTTTTGTAGGAGAACAAAGACTGAAGAGGAGTGAGCTCTTTTCCCTTTCCTTGCAAGCTACTGGCCACCCTAGAGTCCCTAGAGCTGGGTGTGTTGCCTGCCACACTGTCCAAGAACTGCGAGGTCTCTCTTCGAGTGGCTTTGCCACAACAGCACTGGATGCATAGTGGGAATGCGAATCGCCTGATCCCTCCCTTGCCAGTATTATCAACCACAAAGTAGAGAAATGCTCTACCAAATAGGGATCCCAACCACACCAGCTGAATATCAACAGGGATAGATGGTTCCATGGCTTTCATGGTTCCTTCTTTTGTCCCTTCCGAGACAGATTTTTCCCTGTAAGGTAGCTTGATGCCTGACACACTTTGCCCGCCGAACTGAACTTAAATTTGCTCAGTCGTGCTTCATGGCACTTCCACGCTTCCACTGCCTGTGGCGCATCTGCATTGGCCCCAGACACTGCACATATACATATAATTATGAAGTAGTTATATATGGAATATCTATCCACCTACACTGTCGTAGCCTGACATCAACCAGCCCTGGCCTGATCGATCAATGTGCCAATGTTTGGGTGTTTGGTGTGGCGTTTGGTGTGTTTTTTGGAGCGGCCCAGGTATCAGATTTTGGGCTCTTGGTCTTGCTTCGACCCCCAGGAGATGCTCGCCGACTCCGGCAGGCGCGTGATGTGGACGCGAAGACGACACTCGGACGACTCGACCTGGTTTCCGGCAACATGAGGATGATGCAGTTGTCTTTCCTTTTGTGCAATCTATATACAAACAAAGAAAGCGTCAAGAGACAACATTCAGAAAAAAAAACAACGTCTTACTAATAAAACAAAACACATACGTTTTCCACGAATAAAACAAAAGCAAAGTCCTAGTAAAAGAACATAAATTCGTTTATGGCGGATATATAGGTATAGTATGCTAATGCTATAGTAAGATGTATGTGTTTAGGTTTTTACAGAGGAGTGTCATGATGTAATCCACAGAACTTACAGATGGTTCCGCTTGCACCACCATTTATTTCTCAGAGATACTCAGTGCAATATTTGTGGACATGACGCATGCAGGCGGTGAGAGATTGTCGCTTATCAACAATCTGTTCAAGTGTTCCACCCTTGGGGCAACTACCTCCGTTTCGAAGATGGGCCAGGGGTGGGTGCCGGGTCTAACCACCCCACCGAACCTGAGGATATGGGGCGGGCGTTCGAAGCCATAACCGATTTGCCTTCAAAGACCTTACAGCAAAGGTCCCTGGTTCTTCAAAGTGACCTTTTGATATCCCTGTTTGATGTCACAAAAGGGCCTGTAAAAGGTCACTGGATGGCACTCCAAAAAGGTCACGAACTGAAGAAGCTGGTCTTGTTTACATCTCCCTATTTCAATACGCTCTGAAACCGCATGTCATGCACCACAGAGTCGGTAGGCCGGGCGTCTATACTGCAGAAGTGCAGTGCAACAGGCAGGGGGCAGTCGGCTTCATTAGCTACTGTGAGGTTTCATGATGAGCCCATACTCAGTCAAGCCCCAGCAAGCGAGTAAACAGTGGTATTCACAGAGTCTGGATTTGATGATGCTGCTTTATGTGCTTTCAACAGATCAAACTGTTCTCCCAGAGTGCTTTTTCACCAATGCTTCACAGTCCAAGTACTGAATTGTCCATTGTCGAATTGAAGCAGGTTGGGCCTCAAGTTCCACTTCTTGCGGAACCTGGACTGCGGAATGCACTGCAGTGCACTGGTTGGGTTTGGGTGCAGAGGCATGGTGGACTCACAAAAGTGAAGAACTGCAGGGAATTACGGCACAAGGCACGATAGAACAAGCCCAGCTGTAGAACAAGCTTGACCAAAGAATAGGTGTCACTTCTGGTGGGGTCGTCTTACTTTTGGGATCTTTTGGGAGTTTGTGTTGTGTTCTTCTTTCTTGCATGTTGCGCAGCAGGCAATGCAAGGTAGCTTTGGCACAAGACCCAACTTTTCTCAGTAGGGTCAATCTACTGCACTTCAGATTGCACTCCAAGGCCTCCTCGCTTTCTCAAATTCAACCACAACCCTTCTTCCACACATGTCATGGGATGTGAATGGCTCCACGTCTGTGGCAAAACTCGTTCACGCACGGCTCGTGGCGGCGAGAGGACGTGTGTCAAAACTTGGCACCTCTGGTGGAGGAGAGTCAGTTCGGTAGCTTGTACAGTGCAGCCCCTCGGCGATGTTGGGCATGTTCGCTCTTTTTCGTGGGGGGGAGATGGGAGATCCATGATGTGCTGAAGCTGGCACGTGCAGGAACAAACGCAACACAAAGGAATGGTACTGAAGAATTTTAATAGAACTACAATGAACTACAATATTCCAAGAGAACTGCAATATCCAGCACTGCCTTGTGTGAACATGTCTTTTTTTGAATCTGTTTTGTGTCGCACCGTGGGTTTCGTGAACTCCCGGCAGGTGGCTCCCATTGGGCAGCAGAGCGCGGGAAGGCGCGTGTTGGTCGGGTGCGACACACCGCGCGGTTCGCGTTCACGACCGTTGCGAACGCCGGTTCGAAAGCGGGAACATGCTGTGAAGACCTGCATGATGCCCATGCAGCAAGCTGCAACTAGGCCTGACCTGGACCATATGACTCCGCATGACTTGTATGTATGAACATCATCATTGGATTCATTTGGTCATGAATCTTCCAGCAGTCACATGTCGGGGTGGTGTTTAGTGTCTAAGTGAGTGGATGTGACGTTCGGGCACCCCGACTACCTCCATGGATCGCACCCCTTTGGGACTGGGTCTGCTGGTGGGTGAATCGGGCGTCTCCAGATCGCTGGGGATCGGAGAGCATGAGTGGCGTCGATCGTGGGGGGTTGATGTTGGAGATCGGACCCGAAACAAAGAACATGGGACATAGAAACAGGAGATAGAAACAAGAGTAGAACCAGTTTTCCGAGGTACTCACTCACGACTAGGTACTCACTCACGACTCGGGTCACTGGTGGGAGTTGAGAGGAGCTGCTGGTTGTTGCCACCTCAAATAGTGACTCCCGGTCACTGGTCCACCTATGTCCAGCTCACGAAACGTGTCCGACGTGTCCGACGTGTCCGACATGTCCGTCGGATCCGGTGGTTTGGGTTTCCCTGGTCGACGGGTGGACGGGTTTCCCTGTGAAGCACCCTTTTGGGTGAGTATGCCAACGGTTCCTTGAATCCAAGATATTGAAAAGCCTGCAAGAGGTTTAAGCAGCTCAGTACAGACGCACTTAAACATTTGGTTGAGGGATTTTGGTGGTAACGTTGGGTGAGATCACCCCGCGCTTCAATGATCACGAAAGCCAGCCGATGGGGGACCGTCTCCACTTCTACTGGCTTTCCTGTCCCCCCCTTCTGAGGTAGTTTCTTTGTTGCAGCCAAACCCTTTAGCAGTCGGCAAACCTTTTCTGGTGGACAAAAAGCTGCAAGGCTGTGGCAGATCGATGCGCAGGAGGGCGAGGCCGGTATTGACTTGCTTTATTCGGATTGGCAGCATGGAGGGAATTCAGGCATCGGTTTATTGTTTTGCAGGTTTGGTTTGGGTATTATGGAATTTTGTGTCGTCAGCCCGGGCTGAAGGGCTCAGGAAACTTGACATTCCCCCAGGCAACCTGGCAACCACCAACAGTGCATGCACCAATGGGCACCCTTTGTTCACTAGCGAACGGTGAACAGCGGTTTTTTTTGCGGGATGGAACTTCAATCATGTCGTGTCTCCAGAAACTTCTGACGTGTTGTGTGGTACAGACAATAGGTGAACACCCGTTGCCAAACGTTTGCTTTTTAATTGGCAGAATTGCCTTTCCGTGGGCCTGACCAGGTATGTTTGGACTCCTATACCCAGTCAGTGGATACCCTTCAACCTGTTTTGGTGATAGGTGTACGCCCTGAAGAAACAGGTGGCTCATGGTGGAATCCGTGCGGCGGCGAGCCGTCTCTAGGTTCCAAGCATTTCCGGCTCGGACATCAGGACTGACTTGTGTTTGGACCGGACCCACCGGACAGTTGATGCTCTAGGCCTCCAGGTACCTCCTCAGGTTCGGTATGACTGGACCCGACTGGCTGGCACCCGGGCCCCCAGTGGTCCCACCGAACCGAAGCGGTTCGTTACGACTGGATGCCGTTCGGGCGGGTTGATGTTTGCTACCCGGGACAACGTCGTCACAAACACCGGCGCGGTGCGCGGTCAGCGCAGCCTCCGCAGATCTACCGGATCGAGCTTCATCGAGATGTCGATGATCCGCTTGGGGGCCCAAGAGACGGATGGATGGCGGGTGGGCTTCGCCTGGCAAAGAGCCTGGTGAACAGCTAACCACCTGCCAGGCTCGCCACCCGCTCTCTGCCAGGCTCTTGGAGTCCTGGCTAACCACCAGGCGAGCCTGGCTAACCACCTACTTTTCTCCACGTGTTTTTGGGAGTCCTGGACACTTCATGTTCGGTATCAGACGGTATCAGGAACTAAACACTTCAACCAGCAGTCACAAAGGGGTGCGATTCATGGAGGTAGTCGGAGTGCCCGAACGTCACATCCACTCACTTGAAGACTAAACACCACCCCGAGCTCTGTGACTCCTGGAACAGCTTTCTTTGTTTCAAGTCCTGGACTTGCTGGACCCAGGCTGTCGATATCATCGACAGCCCAAGCCTCGACTCCTCGCCTCAAGGCCCCCAAGCCTCGCGGCCCCGGCACCGAGGTCCGATCTTCGCATCAAGTGGGAGAAGATCCGCCAAGAGCCCAGCAAGGCCGGTGGCCGCGCCGCGTTTTGCCACGCCGTGGCTGGGAGAGTCACACAGGGCGACGAATGGGTACAGAACTCCTGGAAGAATAGAAAACAGATGAAAACAGACCATGAAGAATGAAGAGTACCCTTTTTACTGGGTAATAGCGCATGTGTTGTTTCTACTTCAATCGGTTGGGTACGTCTTCGCCATCGCGAACACATCGAGAACACCTCCAACAAGGCATCGGAGTTCGATTGTGCCTCGAGCGAACCGGGATGGAATCCAGTCGAGCGCCAACCGTCGCGCCAACCGTCCTCGTCGGGTCCACCGTCTTCGTCGGGTCCACCGAAACTCGCGAAGGCGAAGGACGAAACTCGCATCATTTTGGCTCCAGAACGGGTTCATGGACGAGCTCGAATCATCAACGATTGGCAAACATCATACAGAGTGAATTGATACTGAGCAGTCAAAATTAGTTGCGAGTCGTTCACATGCGGTGGGATTGTTCATTCTTGATGGGTGAGCAGTCCATTATGATGTTTGATTTTGTCAAAGTTCTTACAATTGGGAGCGATACGAGTGGCAGCCATGCCACCTGATGCCAGATTGCAGAGGCGTTTCCGCTTGGGCAATGGAATCTGTGTTGTATATGTCAACAACAGGGCTTTTGGATGGCAAAACAAGTTGATTTTTTCAATACCAGGGCGTTTGTTTAGAGTCCCATCTCTCGCACGTTTAGACTATCGAGCAGGAAAACCGTATCACACTTTCGAGCACTTTGTTGATCTGTGGAATTCATTCATCCAACAGGGGTGTTTGCCTTCCTTCCCGGCGGGGCCCCAAACAATCGGAATCCATACACTTTGTATCACTGTTTCGATGGGCTGCAACACGGCGGGAATCACAAAGAACTTCCGCACGGTACTAGATTCCACCCTTAATTTGCAAGCAATCCCATATCAAATGCCTTGATGGTTCACTTGTTCTCCACAAACAGAAAGCTATATGTGGGTACCTTGCCGACAGGCGGACAACAACACAGAAGTTGGGAGCCACATCGCGGACAACCCACGCACGTCCAAAGCAAACAGCACAATCGCGAGTCTTCAAACCCATTTTGACATGCAAACTCTCACGCACTCATGCTAGTGAAGTTTATTAGTTCCAAACCAAGAAGTTGAACCAAGCGGATTTGAGCCTGATGAATGCCTTCTAAATACAAGGTTCTTCAACGATTTCAGCAGATTGGCGATGCGATAACACAAATGCTTTGGCGTAAACATCACCATAACAGTCTTAAGTGTTAATGAACAAAACCATTTTAACAAAATCACAGTACTCGGGCTTCTCAATCATTTTGCTTACCAAGCAAGACCTTGACTGAAAAAGTGGGACACGGAAAAACAAGACCTGCGCTCGACTGGCGCTAGCGGCAAGACCGGTCCTCGTTTTGAAGGACTTGAGAACTGGGGGTCCTCGTTCAGCAAATCACTATTTGGGACCATCATCATCCACTGTGACTGGTAGTAGGGTAGTAGGCCCAATAGATCACTTTGGCAGGTTTTTGAGGACGTGGTATACCCCAGGTCAAATTCACGATGAAGGAATATGGATGTTCCTGAAGAAGCTTTGTCCCTGACAGTCCATCATCAAACACCTTTGGACTCTCTCTAAACCAGTCAAGCTCTACTTTAGTGACCCATTCGCTAATCAGAGAACTCTATAGGATTCTCCACTCCATTGCAGAGATTCGATCTATCCCGCTACCCAACAAGAGACCTGTAAAGTAAAAGTAGAGCCCATTGCGAAATGGATGTTCACAGCTGTGCGCAAGGCTTGCAGGGAAGGCGGAATGGATGTTCCATTCCGATTATACGGGTCAGGCGCAATGCTTGGTCGGCGGGGGACTGACCGGGGTTGAGTCTGACACCTGATTTCTATCAACGAGGAATCGCAAATTTGTCACACAACTGCCGTCAGAGGTCGTTTTGTTCGCATGCGCAACAACCCCTGTGTCGCGACAGTGTCAGAAGAATTGGTCAGCGAGCTCACATCACTTCCTCATGCAAACGGCACAGGAGGGCCCGTTCATTGAGCGCATTGGCCGTATTGGCGCATCATTTGTTGTAGCTCTTCTTGCGGCGCGACTGGACCTTCAGAATCTGCGTCTCTATCGGCCGGGCGAAGGCCGGGCACTCATGATTTGCAGATGGCGAATAGTTTGGAAGTCCACAAAGGGGCGGCTCTGTAGGCATTCTTTGCTTTTCTTCACTAAAGATCGAGATTGAGTTCAGCAAGAGTGACCAATGCGACGCGATGGCTTTTTTAGAATGGACCAGCAACGAGCAATAGAGTCTTATATACAGAAGAAATCCCTCGTCTAAAAACCATAGCCTGGACTTTGAGTACTGACATGGAGTGAAGGGCTTGAATTCATGCATGAAGGGATTCAGTCAAAGCACTTTTGGATGTCAATCCTGTGCTAGGGAATTGTAATGTGAACACTTACATCATCGGAAATAGACATGTCGAAAGAGACGTCTCCGATTCGAGAGCTGCCCCTATATTGATAGAACCAGGTATAATGATCAGCTTTCAACTGGTTATCAGCCGCATCAAGGGCTACAAGAGACCATTGGTTGAGAAAGAGAAACTTGGCTATAGAAATAGCACCGTGTCAGGCTTGACATACTGCATACACATAGCCACAGGGTTGAGAGAGTATACATTGTTGGACTGAGGGCAATCACTTGTTGACTTGTGTTCATTCCATTCGCGCCCGCGGTGCGACGCATGCCTCCACGTGAGCGTGAGAGATCGAGGAGGAGACGTGGACCACGCGGCGGCAATCCAGATCGCCCGTCGCAGTTGAGTCGAAGGGAACGAGGTCTTCCTACGGAGGAACGCGGCAGAGAGATTGAGAGAGAAGCGTATCATCGCGAACGTGGTGTTGAATACCGTCGCGTTGAGCGTGAGCGTGTGCGCGACCGTGGGAGTCGCGATAGTCGAGATTGGCCAAGAGCTGGACGAGGACGAGGTGAGCGTGCACGAACTCGAGAAGTGTACCGCCCCAAGACAGCCCAGATTCCCACCTCCAGGTTGCTCTGAGACGTGGGAAACGAGGAGGCCGCCGCCGCAGCCTACTACAGAGTCAGAATCCGAGTCGCCCACTCCGGCTCCAAGGACATCGGGGCACCCGTTGAGCGTGAAGAGAGGTCGCGTTCGCCGCCAAGTGTTTGGGTGTGGGTGCCGGAAGGTGGTTTGAGTCCGGTGCAGGACGAAAGTCCGCATCGCGATCAGGATTCGCGAGCGGGCGACGCTGAAGAAGAAGAGGTTGAACTTGAGGGTGAATCCATTGATACCGAGACTGGTGAACCCCGAGCTCTACTTGCAGATCCGGTTGAGGCTCCACCAGAGGTTCCTGCAGGTTCTCCGGAGGTTGTGTCGGCTGTTGACTTTTCAGCGGCGACCGAGCCGGCCACAGAGGAGAGATCAGCGTCGGTCGACGATACACGGGTGCGTGCAAGGCAGTTGAGATCGAAGCCGGCGCGCCCGACCAGCAGCAGGCCGCCCCCTTCCGTGAGTGAGCAAGAAGAGAAACCGCCTGTTGAAGAGAGAGTCAAACCGCCTCCAAGCGCTACATCGGCAAAGGCCAAGACAAAGAAGGAGTCGAGTGAGACTGGCGACATTGAGCGTGAGCAGGGTTCAGCCGTTGATACATTGAAGCGTGCACTTGGTTGTGAGTCGTCATCGCGCGCGCGCGAAGGTGAAGGATCGTCGGGCTCGGGACTTCGGCGTGAGTCGGAAGCACTCCCGGTTCCACCTCCGGTTCCAAGCAAGGAAAAGATCGAGCAGGCGGAGATTGCACGACAGCAGGAATTGGAGAACCTTCCAAACCTACAGAGCCGAGAGGCTTATATAACACGCCTTCCCACGGTAAAGCTTATGTTGGCTCAAGAAAGAAGACAAGATAACACTTGGGGCAAGATAAGCCTTGAAGGCTTATCTTGTCCAGCATATAAGAAAACATAGCGTCATGGTACATCACTCCAAGTTGAAGGTAATCTTTTTGCATTTTGTTTGCAGAATTGTTGGTGCCACCGACGTGCACACCACCACATATATACGTGGAACATGGGTTTCAGCAAAGCTTGTGGAACACTATGGTTGAAGAAAGTTGTTGGGGATTGATGCACTCGATCAGTTTTGGCATTGGGTTGTGCTTTTACAACCGTTGCTGCTTCGCGTGCTTTCCTGACAGCGCTCTCAAGCGCACGTGAGTAGTGGGCAAGGTTCAACTTTCTATATATAGCTCTTGACTGCTGGTATGTTCGCTTATACATTCACTTTCACGGTCACAGTCTTTACCATCTATATAAGTGTAACAAGCGCTGTAACGCAATCCGTTATTGGCACACAATATATGGCCCACATGTGGAGAGATTTTCAATCCATCGATCCGCGCAACATGGAGCTAGAGCTGCAACATGGAGCTGGAGCTGCTGGCTTTGAGATCCAAGCGCGGCTCAGGATCTAAGACCCCAAGGCGGGCCTTGCTCCGGCTACCAGGGACATCCAGGGACCGATCATTGAACCAGTGGACATGTCATTGAATGAGTGGACACGTCATTGAACGATCGACATGTCACTGATCGAACCAATCTTCGTTCTTTCCTCATGTGCCCAAGCCTTCTCGGACGTGCGCTGCATACGCATGTGTTCAAGCATTTGTTTTGGGATGTGCGCTGCGTACGCTGTGCTCAAGCTTAATTGTTTTGGGTTGACTAGCAATGTTTTTGACCGTGCTGAAGACTGGGAAGAAAAAACCCAGCAGCAGCGCCGCAAAGCCAAGAGATCCACGAAGGCGCCAGTGGTTGGGTTGCAAAAGACCTTTCAGGTGAAATGCACCGACTTGCACCCCATGCTTTCGACCCTGTTCTCCGGCTTTATAGTTAGCATCGTATTCGTAAAAGGTGTTTTGAAAGAGGTTAGAGTCGATGTATAGGGAACATACCCGGGAA